TCCAACTCCAAACCAAGCACTGTCCAATGACTCATCACCCAATACTGGTAGTAATGAAACACAAGATGGACTTCGACAGGCTGTAAAAAGACCAAGTTCACCATTGGATGAAGGGGCTCAAGCTAAGAGAATGAGAATACTAAGCACCAATCAGGTTGAAGAAAAGACAGCACCTAAGGTGAATACAGATTTTTTGATTTCACATAACTGTGTTGTAATGGAGTGGTTTTCATTAAGCTGTGTAATAAATTTCAATGACCTAAGCTTTATCCCTCTTTGTTTTACTGTTTTTTTTTTGTGTGTTTTTGGTGTTTTCTCAAACATTGACTACCACGCTTTGTTACACTTGATTTCAATTCTTTGTCAATATATGATTAATAATTTAAAGAGTTAGTTAAAAAGTATGAATCATGTCTAATGTTTTTTTTTTGTTTCTTTAAGGAAAACAATGCTGATGGTACTGACTCAAAAGACAAGGACAACTCAATAGAACAGAATGACATAGAGGTACAGCGCAATGCATTCATCATAATCATCATATTATAATCATTGTATTATAATCATCATATTATAATCATATTGTGTCTCGTATAGGTGAATACAGAATCTGAACCCATTGCTAGAGGAGTCAAAAGACGAAGCTCTCCCATTGATCCAACCATAGTGAAGCAATTTAGAGACAGTAATCAGGAGGTTTGTGAAAAGTGCACACAAATTTTATATACGTATTTACTACTCATAGCTTTACAGTCATTGCCAAAATATCCTGTTTCTTTAAATACTTTACACTAAAATGTACACTATATTTGATTCAGAAGCGGGGCAAAAATTAAAGCTGCTCAACTGGCAATGTCTGATCAAATGATCATACGATTGACAGTGAACTGAACTGACAGTGTTTCAGTAAAACCTGATGACTGGTCAAACCTATCTTCACTAGACATCACATCACATCCACCCACTGATCTGCCCTTAAACTGCATTAAAYCTAATTTTGCTACTATTAAGCCTKGCTTTTTTTCTTCAGGATGAAGAGAAAGAGCTCTATGACACAATGGAGCAGCTTCAGCCTTCGCAGATGAAAGTTCCAGTAAAAAACTCTATAAAACTCAAACTGAAATAACTACATATTCATACACTACCAGTGTTCCATCCTTGACATCAAAGTGTACATTTGTACTTTCATTTGACTCTTGTTTATACAGATTGCATCAGTACAAATCACATGCGTGCAATAAGGTCCTTGTTAGTAGTGAGAGATCTATATACTATATAAAGTGCCTTATTGATATAGCATTTTTGGTGTGGAGAAAGTAGGAGACATAACAATGTATTCATTCAAAAATCATACAGAGATCCAACAGGACAAACCACCTGACCCTGCTGTACTTAGGGTGAGTAATGCTATCCACTGGAAAGATCTCTGTCCTGTAGATAACAGCTATGTTATATGTACGCAGTGGATAATCTTGGATAGCTAAATCTCCCTTTGCACACCAGACCGTGGCAGAAGCAATTCATGACTGTCAGGACATGTAGATTTTTGTCGCTCTACATTTATTTTAATAAATTATTTTACAAACATTATGACTTAACTATTGGAGCTTAAAATATAGTTACATGGATATGCACTTGCAGTTCATCAGAAAATCTGAAAAATGCATGCAACCTGTTTGTGGCTGTATATTTTTGTTTGAAAAGTTTGTGCCTTAAAAAAATAACAAAAATTTGACCCCTTTTTCTTAGATATAAAGCTGAAGAGAGTTATATAACTATATCTAAAAACATACAAACTTTTTCGTTTTCGTTTGTAAGACATTGTTAATGAAATAAATGTTTTATAAAAATAAGAATTTGTGTAGTGTTTGGTCTGTKTKGCTGGGTTTCCTGTGTTGCATGGTAACGAGGCTCGGCGGGAGAAGCGTTCTTGACAACCCAAGATGGATAACGCAGACTTGGAAAAACTTGGTATTTCACCTGGGAAATTAACCCCTAAATTCAACCCAAATATCACTGAATATACAGTTACGTTAGCTAGCGATGTAGGCAAACTCAAAGTCGACCCATTGACAAGTGACTGTGGCGCTAGCTACACAATTTCGGTGAGCAAAAAAAGTTTGTTTTCAATACTTGTTCAAAAGTTGAATGCTCATTTTGCATGCTTTAGGGGGGAGGTGGTGGCAAAACTGTTGACCTAAAAGAAGGACAAGTCACTTCAATCAAGGTCGAAGTATGTGCTGAAGATGGTAGTACTATAAAGAACTACTTCATACATGCGACAAGGCTTTCAGCAAGCGATGCATCACTCACTGATATCAAGTACTCCACCGGCGAGATAAACCCTCAGTTTGCTGCAAATATTCAAAACTATTCTCTTTCTGTACCTTTCTCCTTATCCTCAATTGAAATAACACCACTTGCAGCTGATAAGAAAACTTCTCTCAAGTTAAATGGTATTGAGAATTTGAAGGAAGAAGTTCAGTTGAATTTTGGTGAGACAAAAGTTGAGATAGAAGTTACTTCCCCAGATAAAACAAATTCTAAAATTTACACTCTTATAATTTGCAAAGAGCAGCTTCTGAGGCCAGTGAGTTTTGTAGATCAAAAGGTCAAAACTAAGAATGAATGYCCAGTATGCTTGGGTGTTTTGTATAGACCAAAATCAATAGCTGACAGTAAGTCTGGACATCTGTTCTGCAAATCATGTATTGACGAACTGACTCGCACCTCTAAAATGGACCCTCTGGATGACACGCCTTTGACGGGAGAATGGAGGGCTGATGAGTTTGAACATGAAAAACAACAGTCTTTAGCAGAGGTGCAGTGTGTCTTTGCTCACTGGGGTTGTAGTGAGAGATTCAAGTTGTGTGACCTTGGAAGTCATGCAATAAAGTGTGACTACCAACCRGTAATGATAGAGAAATCTTCAGAAATGGTTCCAGCCAAAGAGAGAGAGACAAAAGCTAAAGAYTGTTGCTCCCCTTGTCCTGACTGCACWAGGCCAGTGCGACCTAGTGACCTAGAAGCACATAAAAYGTACATGTGTACTAGTAAGGTTACGAGTACTGCTGTCAAGCATAAAGTAGAGGTTAGAGCTTGGGAAAAGAAGCTACACCAAGAAACTGGTGAAAAATCTGCTGATAAATTGGTTGTCACAGCTGAAAAGTTTGAGAAAGACTATTTSAACAACCTTCCRARACATGGTAAGTATAGTGGCTTGATTGACAGTTTGATAACTGCTTTAGTTTGAATCTATTGTCAATTTGAGCTAAGAAGAATAACCATTGAAGTATTTAGTATGTGAATTGAGGAGTTTGAAAGACATTATAATTCGTTGTTAATTCAGCTTCCTATTACCTAAGGCAATGCAGGTCATTATAGTGGTGAAGTTTCACCACTACAGTTATTGGAAAATGCTGCCGAGTGGTATGCCACAGCAATCAAGCTCTCTCCAAAAAATGCAAAATYGCATTTTGGACTTGCTCAGGTTCTTGAGGAACAGCACCTTGCACAAGACCTTTATGGCCTCAAACCCCAGGTATTATTAATTTATAGTAATCMATTGAAACATGATCAACTGCAGAATCTCTTCTTCATTCGTGTTTTCCTTTTACTTTCTAATAGAAAAGTTCAGATATAGAAATTGACTTCAATGTCAAGTCAAAGGACAGTTCCAAAGAAGATGATATTCAAGCTCTTTGTGAAATGCGTGGTGTTGGTCGCAATGCTCCTTTTRGCATGCAATTGAAAGCCATTGACGAAGAGTATCATTATCTACTAGAGCAAGGACTGTCTGATAAAGCTGAATATGTACAGCAGTTATACGCATTCAAATCAAAGCAGTCTTTAAAGGTAATTTCTAAAATATAGTTTTGCTTGCTTTCTCTTTATATTATTTCAATTAAACACCAATTCATTTATGTATTCATTTATTTAATTATTTACCCATTTCTCCATTCATTCATTCAACAAGGTACATATTCATTCAAACATCCATTTGATCTTTTGTCACTCAGCAACCTATTCAATCAATTATCATTTAGGCATTTATGCCTTCTCCCCCCACCCACACCTCCCCCCACTCTCTTCCCCCCACCCCCTTACCCCAAATCCTTCCCTAGTTCTACTTATAAGATTCATTGATAATTAATCGGTATTATACCTGAAGGCCAATAAGACTGCAGAGCTTGCTAGCAATGAGGAGGAACCTCTAGGCAAAGCCTACCACAAGTACATGGATGCACTGGCATGCGGTGTTGATAACTACTTATACAGTCTTCATGTTGGAAGAATGCTCCTATTGCAAGGAAATTACAGTGAAGCTAGTCTTAGACTGAATATTGCTGTTGGTCTAAAACCTACCAACATTGAGTCAAGGTACAATGTTAAAAGATAGTGATTTCCTTGTATTTTTACTAAAATAAAATTGTTTCAAAGTCCAGGCTTATCAAGTTATTGATATGAAAAGACCTCCTATTTGYTTCATTAGGTTATTGCTTGGTTTGGCTTTAACTCAACAGTCATCTGGACCTGGAAAGAGGAAAGATGAGGCCATTAAGTACATATCTGAAGGGCTGGAGTACTTCCTTAGTAACATTTCCTTTGAGAATAAAAATGATGAGCTTACATCATCTAATGTTATCAAGTTATCAAGTGTCCAGTGTTTACAAGCATTTTTGGTTTTAGCTGAACAAGGTTAATAGTGATGTTATAGGATGTTATATATTACAAGTTAATAATATGCATGAGTTATAAGAACTGTGACTTCGCAAATGAAGCAAATGCAGTTCTATATAAGCATAAATTAGTTGAAATTGTGTTTCTGTTAATCTCATAACTAAGTATAGTGCACATTATAAATGTTTCTTTCATGCTGCAAAGAAAGTTATTTCATACTCATACTCTATTTTATGTTGAATTAAAATCAATATCTTTTTCCTCTTATAGTAAAGAACAATTCCTCTCTACCTCTTGGTGTAATGTCTGCTATATCCCTGTATCACTGTGCTGCTCTCCTTTCCACCAGAGTACTGTCTTACCTTGTTGCAAGAGGAGATACCTATCATTCTGTACAATGGATTCTATTTCAAGCTCACTCTTCAGTCCTTCAAATGGCTCTTGAATCTACAGACAAGACAACAACTGATGAAAAACAGATCACATGCCGCTGTGATAATCTATGTGCTTTGATCAAAAACTCATCTATTCCACCAGGAAAACAGCTACTTGAACTGCAGGAAAAAGTAAAAAGTCATAAGTTTTTACCATATAGTGACTCTAATTGTTTTTGACTCTGATTGCTGTATTAATAGTGAAAGTTTAATATTTATTAATAGGAACATCCCAGCAAAAAAAAAACCTTTTTTCTGTGCTTGTAGTTTTCTTGTGTAAATGGTCCAAACACTCACACTCACCCGCTTTGAATGTTATTTAGTGTTGTAAACAAATCCATGATCATAAAGAACGTGGTTATGAATTTTAGTGTTATAAATGTAAATTCTGCTATTGAAAAATTATACTTAAATTTAATATTTTTGAAATCTTTATTTTTAGACTTGCCAGCAAGCTGTCATTCTCCAACCAACTAACAGCAGATCACTGTACTTGCTTGGTGATGCACAACTACGTTACTATGACAATGAMCCTGAYAACAAGGGTGTCCTGAAAGAAGCAGAGGACAGCTACCGTGTTAGTATAGAACTTGAGGGTAAGTCGTCAGGAGGAAAGGTTGTGCCTGATAGAATCTGTGAACAAAAATGGTTCAAGGAAAAGCARGCAAAGMTTGAAGCAGAAAAGAAAGCTAAAGAAGCTGCTTCATCTCCGCCGAAAATTGCAGCTGGAAGTAATAAGGCTGGAGCTASCACTGGAAGRGGGGCTACCACTGGAAGAGGGGCTGCTACTAGAGGAGGTGCAGCRACAACTAGGGGTGGAGCAACAGGTGCCAGAGGACGCACTYCTGCAGCCACAGGTAATCGATCACATCACTGCATTAAATACCCTGCACTCTAGCTTTTGAAACTTTGAAGGTGCTTTCTGAAAACAAAGATTGTTGTTTGATMAAATAGGACGTGGCAGYCCAAGTCCAAAGGGTCCTACTCCAGCTAAGCCAACAACAAGAGGCAAACCATCACCAAGTAGAGGAGCATCAACTACTGCAAGAGGTGGAAGCTCTAAGCCTTCAGGTATGTGTAATGGCTTACATTTTGTTAAGTTTTAAATGCAAAAGGAATCGAATTTTCATTGTTTTTTTTTGTGTGTGTGTATTAATCTGGGTTTTTCATTACTGCTATGTTGGTCATGTGTAATGTTAGATTTCTTTAAATTATTTATTTTGTGTAGTTTCACCAACCAAGTCTCCTTCGTCACACAAAGCATGTGCCGCTGCAACATCCAAACCACAACAAGCACCACAACCCCCACAAAAGAAAGATACAAATAATAACCAATCAGAAGCCACCATAGAAACACCAACTGGTCCACCTAACAAACCTGCATTTCAGCCTAGACTAGGCCTTGCTAGAGTTCTTGTAAGAAAAGGTGCTGCTATGGAAGAGATTCAAAAACTGTATGAAGAGGTCATTACCATGGCACCTGATGTYCAYGACGCTTATATTGAACTTGCTGATTCATTGGTTAAAAATGAGCCAATGAAAKCTGTTGAAATTTACAGTAGATAYCCGTTTAAACCTGATTTAAACTTTGATGATGCATACATCCATGGAGAGATAGTAAGATTGATAATGAAGGAAGGGAAATATGATGATAGTCGYCTTGGCCCCAGTATGATAGCACTRGGGAAAATCATGGGTCTYACKGTCATTGAGAAGTATGTTGAAGCATTGGACAAGACATTCAAATACAGTAAACTACTTTGTCAGRTTTATGCTGGTGTTCATGGCAAGGATGTAGAAGATCCTGATYTGCAGCAGTTTTTCAAGTTTAAATGTTGGATTTAGAGCTCTGGATGAAGTGTTAAGATTAAGTGCTATGGCAAGTTTATGCCATAACTATCCTTTCATAACAATAGATTTTCATGAAGATAGTCAGCCTATCAAAAGTCTTTATTTCAAAGACTAATAATGAAAGACAGATTAGTACCATTGCCATGAGGTACAGTGTATTCATTGTAGGCTTTTTTCATGGCACTGCTCTGTGCCTTTTATTTGGTAAGGCAATTTGTTGTATTTCTAGTGTACAGAAACGACTATTCTAACTTATTGACTTAAATGTGTTGACTTCTAACTTATTAACTTGCATGAGTCGTGTGTGGTTTGTAATAAAGTAGTGTTATAACGTTCAGTGAGATTGATGTTATTTGATAATGTAAATGGCATTTAGTTGCTGTTTACACTTGTCTTTGTACAGTATTTTCATGTTTCAGCACTCTCAGAATGGCCAAGAATAATGAACAGTTTTGAAGGTATAAGTTTTTATTCTTTATTTAAATTGCATTATTAGATAAAAATATTTTATTACTATTATATGATAATATATATGAATATAATCTTGATAAATTCAGTCTGGATATACATGTATTTTAATTAGAATTACATAAAAATAATGAAAATGACTCGTTAGGTAACTTTTCACTGTTTGAGATTTCAGCACTCTTTCTCACGACTGTTCAAAGTTCATGTCAGAAACAATATTAATTCCATTTTTCCAAATTTGTTATCATAGAAACAGAATAACACTTCTTTATAAAAGTTTATTATCACGCTCTCTAATTCTTTTAGACTTTTGAAAATCTCAGCAATTTAAAAAAAACTGTCATTCGGACAATATTTCCTAAACGAATAAACTAGGATTATAAATTCCAAAAATGCTATTTGTGCTATTATTAACTTGAAGTTGACTTTGTTATTTTCTTGGATTTTGAGAAACGTTTGAACATTTTCTTGATTGACCCTTGYTGTCTTCCTTTYCCATCCAGGTCAATGGATGATCCCTCAGTTTCTTCACTTTGACTACAACTTTCGATGTCCTTCTCRCCAAAACTCATGTCACTATCATATGACATCTGGCTTTGTGTTCGTTCAGTTAGYGGTCGTGCCTGTTCAGGTTGGGTCTGTTCRSATGGTGATTTGATCTCTCTCAGTGGCTGGTGCAGACCGCTTTCTGTTGTCTCTGTGGTATCAGATTCATCGGTTTTGGATTGTGTACGCMCTTCAACTGTAAGTACATGTAAAAGACAACGTTTTCTTTGTTATTACTAAAGCCTTTAGATAGTTGGTAATATATCCAAGATATCTTTCACCAGGGGCAGTGGAACTGGGGAGGGCCGGGGCCCCACAATATATATTTTTTGGGGGGGGGCGGAGGGGCAAGGGAGGTCCTGGCCCTTCCCACATAACGGCATCGGTTTTGTACATTAGAGAAAAACATTAGAGAAGAACATTAGATTGGTTACAGAAACTATTTGGTATAGATATAATATTATAAACTACCTCTTTCAGTTGTAAGAGACTGTGAYTTGGTGAGACGTTGTGGGTAGGCTTTTCGACGTTGTTGCTCATCGAAACCCTCTGGAGATGATATAGTTTCTGATTCCTGTTCAATGTTAAAGAATTGAATGATATTATTCTTTGTTMAAACATGCATTAAATCTTAGAAGAGATATTCAAGCTTTCATTTTAATGAGGGAAACATTTACAAAGAATATCAAACAAATCTTTTATCTGAGAAGAGATTTCGTTAATGGTAAAATAGATGATTAGAGTAAAAGGAACAGGACACTAACCGATGATGTAGCTAGTTCTTTAGCCACACTATGATACCTTGGRAACGACTGTTCACTCGTCACTCGACGTACATGACTGTTATTCCGTAATTCTAACTTTAATCTTGATCGATCATGTGGTACACCGTTMCCTTCCCTTTGGTTACTCGACTCAGCTGACATAGGGAARTGTAMTCCTTCGTTAGAAACTGGAGATGTGCATGACAGTCTGTCCTCTAGGGAAGTTAACGAGSCGTTATCAAAGTGAACTAAAAGTTCYTTRGTGTTTTTAAGCTCTTCTTGCGTTTCTTCTAACTCAGATAAAAGTTTTTTGTTCTCTGCTTCTAACTTCACTAATTGTTTCATATTTTTATAACTTTCAGCTTTTACCATYCCCAAATCGATTTTCAAACGCTTGTTCTCAGCTTTTGCACTCGATAAATTCCTATCAAGTTTAGATTTCTCGCGTTCAAGATGATTGACTTCTTCCTTTGCCGCAGTAATTTGAACTTCTAATCTCATTTTATCGTCTGTTAGCGCTTCTATTTCTCTTTCAGCCTTCTTTGTTATCATTGAACGCTCACATAGTTTTTGTTTTAAGGTATTATTCTTTCCTGCAAGTTTTTGRAGCTGCGACTGATAGTCAGAATTTCTGTGTTTCAAKATAGTCATCTCATTTTCCAGTATTGTGTTGGTACATTTAATTTCAGCAAGCTCTCTGTGTATTTTACTCAGTCCACGATGTCCTCTAGCCGTTACTCGTCCTGCTCGTAAGTCTTCAGCTGACACCCAGTCTGATGAGAAACTGATGTCTTCAAAGTCAGTTGCTGAAGCAAACGAGCTGTCCGTACAGACATCAACACTAACGCTACCGTACACTGACTCGGTACTAAGGATATCATTGGTATCTTTCATATCATTACGTGTWGTGGACTCTTTWCGTACTGGTGASTCACACTCGCAAGTAGATTTAAGGCACTGTCTACAAAGAGTGTTCCCTCCTTTACTTCCSCCATATCCYGATTCACTCTCAGGTGTTRCTRCGATAAACTCTCCATTTGTAGAGCTTACATGCCTTTGAATACCCACGTGTTCTTTGCTGTTGGAATTTGGTATTCTYTCTTGCCCTTCTTTGSATGATACGTCGGGACTTGATGCAGATARTGGCTTGGATTCAGTGTTYAGTGAMGTTTGGTGAGGGTATCGCTTCATACTTGATTCAAGTGGTAATTGCAARTGATCTTTATTTGACAGGCTTTGTTCCGTGGTACTTCTGGTGGAGAACCCTTGTTCTAMACTGTGTGATTGATCGTGGWATCCTGGAGACGAGACATTTATGATTGGRGTCTCRTCATTTCCTTTRTTTCCYTTTTTCTTCATTCCATTAAGACTTGCCTTCTCTATGCTTTGCTCTGTTTCAAATGCCTYAGGAGAGTSCTGAGTACTGCCATMAGCGATCTCTGATATATTGCGTTTCTTTAACTTACGATTTTCTTCTCTTAAACCTGACACTTCCTTCAATARATTAGAATTCTCGTCCACAACCACTGAAAGGACTTCCTCAAGTTTCTTGCACCTTGCAGCAACTTCATCAATCTTCTCTTTTTCTAGGCTTTCAATCTCACGCGTAGATWCYTTTAGTTTCTGGAGTTCTAYTTCCAAGGCCTGTTTCACGTCATTAGCATCAGAAAGTTGAATTTCTAACTGTGCATTTTTAGTTTTCATTTCATTTAGTAGGTCATCAATACATTTCTTATCGTTTTGCAGTGTTTCTAACTGGTTTTTRAGCTCCTTATTCTCTTGTTCCGCACTGTTTTCATGTTCTGAMTGAATCTTAGTAAGCTTGGTTCTAAGTGTATTCATTTCTTGKACCATCGCTTGAACTTCRTGTTCCATTGCYTGCCTTTCTTTTAGTATTTTGACAAGTTTTTCTTCGATATCGGCTTCTTCATCAGTTTCAAAACCCTTTTCACTRGCGGTGTCATCTTTYGCTTTGGAATAGTCTTTACTTTGATCACTTATTTCACCAAATTCTGAGCTGTTTTCGTTATGAAGATGGTGTATTTCTTCCTCRTTGCTTTGRACCACTTCATTCATCTCCATTTGAATATGCTCATGGGTTTCTTKTGATGGATCTAATTGAGTTTCATGGTGTGTATCATCTCTTGAGCAAGAAGTGCAGTTTGTTTCTTCGGTGGAGCCATCATCCATGCATTCATGACCACTGGACACTTGAATKTCTTCAACAGGTGTTGTTTCGATGTTGTTTGATGGATCTTCATGAGATTTGGGTATTTCTTGCGGTGTTTCTAGGAAAGGCTCCAAGATTTTGTCTCGTTTTTCATMATCWTTTATAACTCCATTGTCAGCTGGATCGTTCTGCATTGYGTTRTTCAKTGACGGGGATTTCTTTTCAGARRMTGTCGAGCTTTCCCGTTTCTTTCCCTTCTTTGGACTGGTTGGTGTCCAGGATTTCTTTCGGTTTTCTAACTGTTCTAATAACTCCTCATTCTCTCTCCTGTATTGCTCGAGCTGCTTACCCATGGATTCTTCGACTTGTTTATTTTCATTTCTTAGTCTTTGTAATTCTTGTTCCAAAGCCGTTACCTCCGTTAGTTTGTTGCGACTGTCAATCAACTCCTTTTTGAGGATATTTTTCTCGTYCGTCTGTCGCATCAAGTCTTTTTCGAGTTCCGTAACAAGCCTTTCTGCCTCTTGATGTTTTTGTTTTATCTCTTCACAGCTCATGTGAAACTCCTCTTGGCTTTTGAGTTTCTCTTTGATATCGTTGTTTTCTTTCTTCAACGTTTYTAGATCATGGAGAAGACTTTCTTTTTCCTGTTTGTACGCTGTCGTTATCAGGTGAAGTTCCTGTTCAAGTTTAGATCTTGCATCTTCCTTTTCAGTGAGGATTCTATTGATTTCTTCATGTTTTAGTTTTAAAGCCTCAAGCTCTTTAGCAATCTGTTTCTTTTCTCTGGTCAGGTACACTATTGCCTTTGCGCTCATACCAGATTTTGTTGGTTCTGTTTCTTCATTAAACTCCTTAAGTTTTTCTTCGGTTATTGGTGAAATGTCAACTTCTCTAATCTGTGTGCCAGTTGATAGGAWTGTAGGGYWGCWTGTTTGGGTKTCTACGTCTGTRCGAACWGTATTCACATTGGTCTGTTCTTCCARCTTTTGAACTCGACCTTTTATCCTCTGTAAAATGATTTGTGAGTCATTTAATTTGTCCACAAGTTGTTTATTTTCTCTCAGYGCYTTACTTAAGGAATACTCCAGGCTCATTTGTGTCTTGGTGAGATGYGACGTCTTGTTCTCCAAAAGTTTTGCTGTTTTGCTCTCCAAAAGAAGCTTCTCTTTGCATATCTGTGCCATCGATGCCGTGGCATCAAACTGTACATTTTCATAGGATTCTTCCTGTATTGCTGGCATTTTTTCAGGTTCTGATTCATTGCTTTGTTGYTCTAGGGATTCTGCATCAGGTTTAGAATCAGTATTTGAATCTAAGGACTCGCCGTCATCTTCTGCAGGGTCGGTTTCTTGGTGTTTGGCCATGATCTCTGTTAGATCCCATCCAACTTCATCACTCAAATCGTATTTGTCTTTAAACACATTTTCTTTGGAGGGCATTTCATGTTCGAAGTCCCATCCTATCTCATTACTCAAAGCACTTGACGCAAAACTGACATGCTTATTATTTTCTTTGTTGTCYTGGTGTTTCATGGTATCTAGTCTGATATAAAGATCTTCATTTTCTTTTTCAAGTTCTTCTAGTCTTTCTTTTAATTCCTTYACCTCTACACCATGACCAGCATCTTGCTCGTTTTCCACGGTGGTATTTTCTTTCAATGCATTTATGTCTTTCTTAAGTTTACGGTTTTCTCTCAGTTTGCTCTCCAGTTCTTTACTCTTKCGTTTTAKTTCTYTTTCTAAATTACTGCTCTTTTTCACGGACTCCTCTTGCTCCTTTTCTACCCTTTGTAAGTCRCCTTGTAGGTTGGTGATGTTGTCTTTTAGACGCTTGAAGTCTTCGTCCATTTTCTTTCTCGTTTCTTCTARCTTYTTTGTCTTGACTTCATATTGTTTCTTCTCGGYTGWKGAGTTTTCCAGSTCSGAACGAAACTGCGATAGCTTYACTTTWAGTCYCTCTACTTCTTCTTCCATTGCAATTTTGTTTTCAKTTGCGTTGCGTAGCTTTTCATTCAATTCATTRTTGACCTCTTTTGCAGATTGAACYTCTTTTTGCAGCTGGTTGTTTGTCTTAAAAGCCTCTTGTAATCTTTTCTCCATTGTTTCCCTGCATATATTTTTCTCCTGATTCTGGTGGGTTTCCATTCGTTTCTTTTCTTTCATTTCTTCAATCTCACTTTTCATGCATTCATTTGAACATTTTAGCTCCATGAGYTGAATTTCTAGATTCGTCGCCCATTCTATTTTCTCATTAAGCTCAGAACTCAGCATTTTACTTTCCTGCTCACTATGTTGAAGATCATTCTTAGCTTTCTCCATTTCTAATACAACATTCCTTAGTTCAAAGTCTCCTTTAAGCTTCTCTCCCGATGCAGAAACCAAATCCTCTTCGATGGTTTTGAGCTTCTCACTTTGTTTCTCATTTTTCTTTGTCAATGATTTGATGGTTTCTTCGCTTTGCTGTAACTTGGCCATTATTTTCTTATTTTTCTCAGTTAGCTCTTTAACAGAATCCTCGAAATGTGTACATTTTGCCATCTGATCCATTTTTTCCTGTAGCTCTGTTCTTGCTTCTCTAGCCTCATCTAAAGCCTTATCAAGCTCGTCTTTCCTTCGACGAATCAAGTGTAGTTCATCATAAAGAAGCCCCTTCTCAGCTTCCTTGTCGAGAAGTTGTTCTTTYAGTCTTTCKATCTCTTTTGTACTTTTGCTTAATTTCGCATCGGTGGAAGCCAAGTAATGCCCAGCATCAGCTGCAGTTGGTTTGCTCTCAGTGCTCTGTTCTGTTCCTTTAATATGTACAAGCTTGTTGTCTGCAACRTCGACTTTWACACCTTTTCGTATGCGCTCCTCCTGAAGCTGTTTGATCTTCAACATTGCTTTTTCCAAATCAGCTTCGTAAATGGCGATCTTTTGCTCACTCTTGGTTATTTGTTGTCGAAGATCGGTGTTTTCTCGCTTTAGATTGTTAAATTCCTCTTCAAATTTCTTAAAATCTTGATACGTGAGCTCATCTTTTTTGCTGTTAGAGAAGTCGAATTCTTCTTTCGTTGTCTTTAGCTTAGACGGCGATGTTCTCATGTTCAGRCGACTGAAGAAGGTGCTGTGGCTATCACTTGTTTGTTTGCTGTTGCTTTGTCGCTTTAGACTTGCAATTTCGTTCTCCAGAGACTTGATTGTCCCGTCTTTTGTCTGCATCTCCTTCTTTAGTTTTTCAGACTCATCTTTTATTTCGCCATATTCTTTTTCCAATGCCTCTTGATATTCTGACATGGAGAGCATTTCCTTTTGTAATTTGATAGTTAAGTCCTTTAACTCGTCTTTTGTTCCAATGTTACTGTCTATTCCAGTTTCTTTCATCTTGCCTTCTTCTTCACTTCCAAAGTCATCATCAATAAACACGGTTTGAAAGGCGTTATTWCGGTTTCTCGACCATTTCTCCTTGTCAGTTTTCTCGTTGGTCGGGGTAAGATCTTCGTCTCGAATGTGCTCAWATTTTAAGAGACCGTTTTTCCATTTTTCAAGTTCTGCTTCCATCTTTTCAAGRTCTTTGGATAACTTCAGATTATCRTTCTGCATCTTGGCGGCACGATTCCTTTCCATTGCTAACTCTTTCTCCAGTTGYGCGCACTCTTTACTAAAGAGATCGACCTCAGCTGGTGACATAGTGTATCCATCACGCYTYTCTTGAGTGTCATTTCCTAGTTTGAACTTTCTTCTGTGGATTGTCTCRATCTCTTCCTTGAGTGTCTCCTTTTCTTCTTCAAGGAATCGAAGTGTTGTTTCCAARCCTTTCAGTTTGCARTCCTTGTCCTTAGAGATGTTTTCAACTAAGGCCTTTTCTTCAGTCAGTTTGTCGTTAAGAGTCTTCAGTTCTGTGTTCTCCTCCAAGAGATTGATGATCTGCAGTTCCCGATTGCTATTTTGTATGGATGGGATGTTCCTCAGATCAAATACCTTACGTCGTGAAGGCGATCTGGTTGGTGATCGGCTRTGATGTGAATATAGTTTTGTTTGACCRTCTTTAACTACATCCACTTGATGGTAATCYTTTAAAAAGGTGTTTTCTCKAAGTGCTTTTTCAAGCTCTTCTCTCAGAATGCCAACTTTCCCTTCAAGGACATCGTTCTTGTCTTTGTATTCCARGTACAATTTTCGAATTTTYTCCCAGTTTTCTTTTTCTTCTTTCAGCTTGGCCTCAAGGCTTAGAATGATCTGTTGGGCTTTACTAAGTTGACCTCGGACATGGTATAGCTCGTCTTCCAGGTCTTCGTACGCAACTTGAAGGTCTTGRAACGTTTTGTGTGTTCGTTGGACCTGTACTACGTCTTTGGAGGGATTTTTCCCTTGTTTTCCAGATAGACCACTTTTGCTGTTCTKCTCTGCATGTTTGTTTTGAGTACCATCAGATTTCTTTGAMACCCCRTCMGGTTTCCTGGATTTGGTTGGACTTGATACAGGCGAGTGATAATCCTGGATCCCACGCGCAATTTTRGTAATTATTATGTCGTCTTCATCGCTATCATCGATGTCGTTCTCGGACAGACTACCGTCTTTATCATCAGAATCTCCACCCTCGGTCAAGGTGTCATCATCTTGGTTAGGCATCAAAGTATACATCTGTGCCATGCTGGCCAGGCAGTTTTTCAAGATCTGAGAACTTTGTTCGTTTCCTTCWGAGACTTGTGAACCATTCTCACTCTCTCCRCTAATACTCTCGTGCGAGGCTTCAGTAACATCGGATAGTTCTCCAACGCGCAAACCTCTGTAGCCTTCCATGATATTTACTTGTTCTTCTGGCTGGTTCTCAGAAAGAGTGACAATGTTTTTTGCTGTCTTTTTWACATCTTTTTCAAGATTACTTCGTTCAATCTTCAGGTGAAACAYATCAGACTTAAGCCTGCTGACGTAGTCCTTCATAAGGATCAACTCRTCCTCGAGACGAGCYTTCTCTTCCATAGTTGCGAACAACTCAGTTTCCAGCCTCGAGGTGTCATCAAAAACCTCGTCAATCTCTTGCTCCAGGTGTACTTTGGGTCCTTTGGGAGTTTTGATGGGAGACRTCAAGGTTTTTTCAATGGTTTCTTTACTGTCGTTTGCTGGCTTCTTAATTGTTTCTTCAAGGTGTTCCTGTTGCATCGCTTTGACGCTTTCCTGTGCTGCTTTGAGCTTCAAAGCACGTCCAGGGGAGGGTAGCCTTTGGTAGTGGGCTCCTCGTCCACTCATATGCTCAATAACGATCATGGACGCCAGAAGAGCTTTGTCTATCATGACATACTTGAAACAACTCTCGAGTATACCGACCATATTTTCGTAGTTCGACCACATCTCTGTGTCTTGTATGCCTAGCAACATAATGAATGCTCTTGTTAGACATGAATGGTATTGAGAATTAACGGTCAGCAGAAAGTGATACAAAGAGCATAAAGTTTATGATTGAGTAYTGGTGTTTCAAAGTCATAGTGTACGCTCCCTCATACCCCCTCATTCATTTTGCGTCTGTGTATTGCAAGTCAAAGTGATAACAAATGTATACTTACCAATTATGTTATTTCGTTTGAACATAATAAGCTCGCTTAATTTTCGYCCAAGAACTCCCCATTGAGGTGCGTTACCTAAAAATCATTGCAAATGATAACTAAGTTAAGCACATGCTCAAAGTCTTAAAAATATCAATGGTTGATTATCGATGGTATCATAATGGGCCTTAATACAACRAACTCATTCATGCACCTAGACAGCAAGATTTTATCCTGTGGCTTGTCACTCGGAATGTTTTGACGGAATTCTCTGAGGKTTTTACCCTTACCTTGACTAAAGATCAGCTGTTCCCCAAAAGCAGACAAAAGCAGATTAGAGACATGTTTTTCAACCTTTTCCTTTGTTTTCGCTAATCTTGTCATCATTTCTCTGGTGGTAATAAGCTGAAGATCTTGTGCTTTGGTGCTTTCATTTACTACTTGTTTGTCTTCGGTCTGTTCGCTTTTTGTGTCTGTCTTTACAGTGTCTTTGCTGCCAACAAACAACCCTAACATCTTTCTTAGGCCTCCTGTCATATTAGACACATAACTAGTTGTCTTTTTATTATTGGATGCTTGACCTTTCTCTGGCTGAGTAGACAAGTCTTTCTTGGTGTCTCCATCCTTTGTGCTTGCTTCAGCTATAGGCGATAGATATATTTAACAATTACCCCTTAATGAATTGATGCTTCTTTCGTAGAGAGTTCATCCGATCATTTGTCAATGAATGAACAATTTAATTATCTAATTCTACATCAATTTATTCATTGATATATTCACTACTAACCCTTGTTCTCTATACCATTTTCCGTTTCTTCACTGAATCCAAGCACAGTGTCCAATAGATTCAGCATGTATCCAGTGTTAAGCACCATGTTTTGCTGTGTCCATTCAGATGTCATGTATTCCTTGACTTTCCTTGGCAGATCACTATTTCTCACTGCTTCATATACAGCCTCGCTTTGATGAACGTGCGTCAACAGCTGCATTGACATCAACTCAGCGAGAAACAAAGCCTCGATATCAGGTGCGTTTGCCGTGGGAGAATGGGCTACTTTTCGTTTTAAAAACGTCAGTTCTGATTGCAAACTCTTGACTTCTTCTTTTTCGCGTTGTACAGTCTTGGAAAGGTTTTGAATAACTGAAACAAGCGTGTCGGTCTGCAGAGAAATCATGTTTACTTGTCAAGATATTTTGCCTTAGTAGTCATGCTCTGTACGAATCTAATGCTGATTGTGGTGAATGTGGTGGTAACCGATTGCAAGAGTCTTCTTTTTTTGCCAAAAAAAACATGAACTGCAGCAGTGGTGGACTGGTATTGGATAGTGGTGGATAAGTACATAACAGAGGTGGATAAGTGGTGGATAACCCGCGGTAATCTAAACCCTGCGAAGCGATGTCATACTTACGTCACTATTCACCACGTGTTCACTTTCTTCATATGACGTCACAGCTGAGTTAAGACGTTGTATTTCTCTCAGGTATTCAAGTTTTTCTAGCTTGTGACGACGATCTGAAGAGAAAAACGGAAGTTAACAACGGAGATTTGTTTCACCTCAAGTTTATATGTGCGTCCACCTACCTTGGTCTTCCAGCTTCTTTGCCAACCKTTCGGCCAGTACTTTGTAATCAACCTGGATATCGATTGTGTTACAAATTATTGTCACGTTAGGAAAAACAAGATTGCGTTACAAACGACCATCCTAAGATGTCACGTTCGACGTAAAAAGATTACGTTACAGATGATTATCACGTTGTCACGTAAGGTGAAACAGCGTAACTTTTATTCCTACCTCTACATTGAGCCGTGCAACATTTATGATTCTCATTGCACGAAGACCAAAATTCAAACTACATTTCGTCTCGTTGATTTCACTCAGTGATGGCGCGATGCAAACCTTGGAACAAAGAATTGTGTGACCATTTTTAGAGGATGCGTGACAAATCACATGTTACAGACATTTACTTACAATAAAGTTGGTTTTTCCATTGTCTCCAAGGCAGTCTTGAAGAAGGCGTGTAAGCGTCGAGTTTCTGTATGGCACGTGTCTTTTTTTACCTCGTGCCAAGGCGTGGATTACATTACTAGAAACGAACAAAAACGTATTATTGCCGCCTTGTCCTCTAGTATACCGATCACTAAACAACAAAACCTCGACACAGCGTCCAGAACCGGTCGTTATATGGTGGTTTACTCTAAGTCCATCTCCATTCAAAGTCTAAAAGTTATGCCCGTATTGGCCGATGTGTAGAGGTTATTTATTTTATCCTAATAAAGCGACCATCCTATCCAGCTTTTGATAATTCTGCCCGTGTTGACCATTGTACAACGTCATACTTACCCAAGTTCCAAAAGAGATGTATTCAAGTATTTGGCTTCCGTAAGTCGAACACCTTCGGCCTTGGTTTTAGTGAGGCGCTCACTACCAGCAAGATCACAGCTGAAAAACACACAAGAATTGCATTTTTTTTAGTTTTCTATTAAAGCAGTCGGAAGAAAAGTTGAAAAACAGCTTAGTGGATCTCTATCTCCTAGTAACTATCTCTTACAGATTAATTTTTCCTTTGACTATGACGTCTCCTTTGAATGAGTGACTGTCTTCCAGCTGCAACAGATGCAAAAAATCAGTCACATAGCAATAGGCAATATGCAGCGACACCATTTTGTGCAGCAAAGGATGATGGTAGTTGAAGTCCTTTTACTTTTTAATGTCCGCTAAAACAGTCCTCCTAACCAGTTATTGCTTTTACTAAGCTTAAATAAAAGAATTTGTGCCATTTGGAAAGTTAAAAACTGCTTTTAAAATATGTTTAAGAGGCTATGAAAAGTGCGAGGACTACAACTACCATCATGCTTTGCACAAAATGGCGTCGCTGTGCATTGTCTATTGTGCTGTACGTTAGTTAGATAAATATTACATGTACACGATTGTTATTCAATAGTGTCATCTTCTACTCACCTCTTTCTCCATCAATTCTCTCAGGCATTCTCGTTCCCTCTGCAAGACGATAAAGGTCGATTAAACTTGAATACTACAAATTRCTGGATGCCAACTAAGATGCGTTACTTACCCTATGGTGAGTTTTCCGGTCTTGTTTTAATTCTTTCAAGAGGTTGTTGATCGTTTCGTCAACAGCCATAATGGAATCATGAACGGTCTCCGGGGACTTGGGACCGAGTTCTTCAGTGGAAGCTTGCTCTATTGTTCAATCAGTTAAAAAATATACAAATTAGGTAACACCTCCGATGATTGATGTAAGATATTTCTTGTTATAATGGAAGTGAATAGATTTTCTCTTCCGAAGTATCTTGTCATGATTTAAATAGCAAGTAATAATGATAATTGTCAAAAATCGAGTAAAGAAACGAGTTTGGCACTATCAAAAAGTCGTTATCATATGTTATTCGATCATCCAATAAATGTGCGTCTCGGAAATCGTCCTTTAAAACTAGAAATCGCTTACTGTCAAATCCAGTGAATTGTATTTTTAGTGGTAGCGATGGAGCAAACATTGCATTATTGTTTTTTCTTGTATTATGTACAGACCAGAAAAACAATGAACTTGTTAATAATGTTAACTGTATGGTATTTTTAATTGTGTTTAATGGTACACATACCCATTGCTATGTGTGCTTTCAGTCTTCTCTCAATAATCAGTTGCATAATAGAATGAGATCTGTAATGACAAAGAAATTATGGGACGTCAAGGCCAAAAAAAAACAAAAAACGGATAGGAACACACATTTGACTTAAAAATGCAGACTTGTGATGATTGTAGTTGTGACAAGTTATACTCGTTCTAATCCATGCAACAAGCTACAAATACTCAAATAAGCGCAAAACGCAGTTACCTTTTTTTACACCCAAAAAGGCGGATTTTACTTTCACAAATTTATACATACACCTACTTGCAGAAACGTTGTCATAGAAAATAGAACATTCGAATTTAGCAAAAAGGAATAAATTAAAACAAAAGAAAAGAAAGCGTTCAGCCTCAGTGATCTTTTTTTGTCTTTTTAATTTATTTCTTTTTACTAAAATACAAATGTCCTATTTTTTTTATGACAACGTTTTCGCAAGTAGGTGTATTCATTCTTACCTGCTAGAGTGGCGGACCATCTTTGTCTCGGCCATGACCAGTTGCCTYTTGCCGAACTCCAGCAAAGCAAGCACATCGTCAGCACACTTCACTTCGTTTTGTGTAAGGTTAGCAACATAAACTCCTAAAAACAAACCATCTTAGTGCCTGTCACTTGTCTCTATGGAAACTGTATTGRTTTACCTTTTTTGGGATGTTCACGAACCGGAAGTTCGACGGTAAATCTTGGATTTAAAAGGTCATAAACTTTTTCCTGGTAGACTTGAAGGAAGGAACACGTGACCTAGGCGTTACATTGTATATTAGTATAGTGTTACATGTAACGTAATTACTGTGCAACATGTCACGTAAGCATGAAGTAGAGTGTCACACAATCACCTTRTAACTGTGTATAGTGTCATCTTGTATTCTCTCGAAGCAGTGGTTCACAACATTTGTCGTTACTCCATCTTCACTAAGCAATGTGTAAGTTTTACCTGTAACGAAAATAAAGAAAACTGTCACATCACTGAAAAACCTTGTCACGCACCAACCAATATCACGCGTTACCGTAAACTTACCAGTGCCTGTYTGTCCATAGGTCAGAAGTGTTCCCTTGTAGCCGTTGAGAGCTGCRTAAACAAGTGGTCGACCAACTTTGAGGTAAAGCTATAAACCATGCCATAGATATTAGTAATTATTATTATTTATTTATAGTTATTGATAGTATGGATTGAATTTTTTATGCACAAAAGCATGACATAGATAACTGTGTATAATTTTTAGATGTTTTTAACGTCGAATGTTACATGTGCTGAAGTCAGTGTAGATTACTTCTGTTTCTGTGAATTGAATTCGGCACATGTTTATTCGGGCCTTGGTCATGGCTCTTTTAGTTGTTAATCAATCGTACTCACTTCATAGTTTGAGGATTCCGGTCCAAACACACCGTCAAAGAAGTAGTTCGTATCTCTTCTCGGATCAAGCACACGAATCTGAAAAGAAAACAGCTTATTGTGAGCTTATTTTTATCAGATTTTATTCTTTTGCTTTATCTTAAGTTATGTTATCATTTTTTCGTCAATTGATCCTTTGAAGTCCTGTGTAAGTGAGTAATATGACACGATTTAGGAGTCGAAGAAGCATGTTTCAAAATGGCGGCTTGATATCTTACCAGCGAATGATCATGATGCAATGCAATTGCGTTKATTTCTTTCTTCTCTCGTTCTTTCTCCGTAAATGGTCGAACTCGTACATAAACTTGTATCCTTCCTGCTTCTAAAATAATAGAATAACTCCTTCGTTAAGGTAGCTCCACACAACAAAAACTGCGCACAATTGATGTGCGTTGGTACGTGGCGCGCAATGGATCATGGTTCGCTGTGTCTGGTGGTTTTGGCGGGAAATAAAATAGGAAAAAATATTAGACTTTTTATCCCTTTTTACTGCATTAAATATGATATTTTCATTAAGATGTAATAGATTTTTAAATCTGAAAGATGTATAAACTACCTTTTCCTTTCGTCATCTTTGAGATTTACAACAGATTTCCCTCGATTTCTCGTCTCAACCTTGATTTTTTGGAGCACATCTTGTCGTAAATATCCKTGTTTT